TTTGTTGCAAACTTTTCCATCAAAAGATGCTCAACGGCTGCACCAGTCGCAGCCTGCCCCTTCCCGCTCCCTGCTCGAGCCTTTCATGTGTTTGCACTCGTGTCTGCCACACAATTGCCGCCACCTCAGTGCTCAGGCCAGGCGCTTCCCGAAGACTTTGCCTTTTCAAAAACTTTTATGCGGGTCGACGTGCACGCCGTCTGGAAGCTAAGCTAAGCCAGAACTAGGTTGAATTTTGAAGTAGGTCCTTGCAGCAGCAACCCCTAAGCCAACGGCACTTCGCCCCTCCCCGCCATCCCTTTTGTTGCTCACTTTGCCAAACTGTTTGCTCAAGACGCCAAATTGAATTTAGGCTGCAGTTGCAAAGCAATTGACACGTGACCAACGCTGCTCAAACTGTGCTTCTCACCTTTCACTCTCTCTCACATCTCTCTCTCGCTCTTTGTCCTGTTTCCTTTCTCTTTAGCAGTTGCCGCATTGTTTGCTGCGCCTTCCTTTTTTTCTTTCATCTCTCCCCCTCTCTCACTCTCACATGCAGCCTCCCACCCGTCCCGCCCACTTTGCTCTGCATTTCATTACCATTTACTTTGGCCTGCTGCCTAATTAAGGCTACATCCAACTAGTGCGTTGCCTAAAAAAAAAGTATCTCTACTTTATATGTGCATACGTAGCGCCGAGATACATTTGTATCTTTGTATCTTTTTTTGCGCTCGCAGCCGTTAGCCATTGTCTTTGGGCTTGCGTTTGTCCGCAAAGCCGCGAAAATTTATGCCACTGTTTGTTATTCTGCCCGCCCACGCTCATTCCCCCCCTAGTCTCTCCCTCTTCCTCTCTGCTTATTAAGAGAAAAATGTATCTTTAAACATTTTATTTTGGTTTTTGCGGCTTGCTTTTTTCTTGCATATTTTTCACGCTGCCGTTGCCATTAGAAGAAGCTGTCCCCTTCGCCTCTTCCTCCCCCTTGCCCCCTAGCCCACCTGTGGGCCTACACCTTTCCTCTAGCTATTTCAATGAGCCGTTTGCTATTTGTCTGCCAACAGCAGCCCCACACAACTTTTGCTATTATGCACATGGCTGTCGAGTTTATTTGAAGAGGTGCAGCAGAGGGGTGGCTTGAGGGGGACTAGTGGGGCTTTGGTGTTCAACTCCCAGGCGCAATTGCAACGAACGTTGAAGTTGTTAATTGCCTTGGTCGTCAGCCGCAACGACGCGTCGTCCTCTTCGCAGTTCTAGCTGGTTCTGTCTGTCCCTCTATCAGTCTCTCTGTCAGCGTACTCCCACAGTGCAAACACACACACACACTCACACGAACATACACACACACATGTTCACTCTTGCTTCTAAGCCACAAAATGTGCGATGTTTATCTCGAGTGCAACCCACACACGTTTCTCCTCTCCTCTGTGCAGATGCCAGCGGAATGATATGAAAAACCTTCTGCATATGATCTAAGTTTGTTGCTATCTCACTCTCTCTCTCTCTCTCACTTTCTTTCTTGCTCTCTCTCTCTCTCTCTCTAACACATAATCTTGATTTAGCTGTCAACTATTCTTTTCTTCCGCCTCTCACCCTCTTTCCCTACTACAGTTTTCTAATTTATAATTATTTTCCGCTTGTTGCATGTCTAGCCTCTCTCTCTTTGCCCCTCTCTCTCTCTCTTACTTCCTATCTCTAGCTTCTTCTGGCCAGCGTTCGGAACTTCGTTCATTTGTGACTTTTTAATTTGACTCCCTTTTACCCCCACTCTCTCCATCTGCCCTCTCTCTGTCTCTCTCTCTTCGTACCCTCCTCCCCCACACCTGCTTTGCACCTGTATAAAACAATGCAACTTTAAAACTATTTTTCTTCTCTTTTGGCTCCTTTGTCTTCCTCTTCTTGTGTCTAACAACTGAAACTCTTTATTTCTTATTTTCGTGGCTTTGACGTTGATGTTGTCTTCCCCTTCAGGGCCAACAGCAGAACGCCTCTGCACCCTGCCACAACCGTTTCCCCTGCCCCTGTCTCTCCCACTTTCCTGCTTCCCTTTTGCTCATTTTGGGGTTTTCCTCTGTTGTTTACCATGTTGCTGCTTCGCTGGTTTCGTTGTTGATTGCCGCCTGTCTGCCGGAGACATAAAAAGCAGCAACAACAAATGCAGACCGGACTATATTAGGCAGTGCTTAATTTAAAGATACCCTGCAAAGACAATAAGTCTGTAAGAAGACTTTAAAATGATGTGGGTTGTTGTAAAGCTCACATATAGACAGATACTCTGTAATTGATTCGACTTATGAAGAATTGTCATTGGAATTCTTTTCTTTTACCTTCTAATCGTATTGAGGTAACTAACATATACCCTGGAAATTTGTGAATGCTTTGAACTTTAACTGTAACTGAGAGATACCCTGTAAAATGTTCACTTTTAAAAGAAAGCTCAAATCGATTCTCCTTTGCTTTCTAGTATATAACTCTACTCATAGATATCCTGAAATAGCTAACATCACAATGTATATAAATCACAGCATCAACCACATTAAACTGGCTGCCCGATATTAATTGCCTAATATTTACAGGGTATGGCAACAGCTATATAAACAACTTCATATATCTAGCAAGAGTTTCTTTTAATTCTCTTTGTGTAACACATTTTAATTGACCCTACACGTGAGCTGGTCTACTATTACAGGGTATTCACGACAGCAACAAGAAGAACTCTCTGCACTTTAGTTCACATTCAAACCGTTACTCATCCATTGCAACTAAAAATTTCCAACTGAATTTCAATGTTGACTTCTAATGCGGGTCATGAATGCATATTTTATATTCATTTCATTTGTTAGCCTGAGAAAAATCTCTGCTGATTATCATTATCATTAYCATTAACATTATCGTTATCATAATCATTATCGTCAGCATCATCAGAAGCAGCAGCTTGTTCTGCTTTTTTAGGCTAACCTCTGTGGCCTCCGGGGACCTTCGTCTTAAGCCAGACCCCAGTTC